TTTCTGTTTTGATCAGCTTCTTTTCCCTTGCCTTTCTCAGATTCCCGTAATTGACACTCTTTGATGAAGTGGTTGGTGCTTCCACATTTGTGACAAGAGGACTTGACTTTAGACTCTTGATTTCTTTTACTGTATCCTTTCCTCTTGTCTGAAAACTTGTTGTTACAGTAGAACTTTTTCAGCCTTCTCACCAACATTGCAGCTTCTTCTTCATCAATGTCAGACTTCTCTTCGGATTCTTCATTGGCATTCAGTGCTAGCCCTTGACTTTTGACAGTCTCCTAAGTCCGATTGTTCAACTGGATCTCGTGGGTAATGAGGGAACCCGCAAGCTGTTCTAGATTGAACTTGGTGAAATCTTTTGATTCATGCACAGCTGCAACCTTTGCTCTCCATATGTCATTTTCTGGAAGACTTCTTAAGACCTTTCTGACCTGCTCATCTATAGGAATTATCTTACTAATACACGTTAGTTCGTTAGTAATATTCTTAAATCGAGTAAACATGTCTTTAATAGATTCTTTGTTTCCCATTTCAAAGCGCTCATACTGAGATAAAAGAATATCTATTTTGGAACGTTTAACATCTGACGTTCCTTCATGTGTAACTTCCAGAAGATCCCAAATTTCCTTTGTGGACTTGCACCCTTTGGCACGAGTATGTTCATCGGGTCCAAGTCCCCAAATTAAAAACTTTTTAGTAGTAGCATTCAATTCTAGTTTTTCGAGATCAGTTTTCTCATATTCATCCATAGGTTTAGGGATTACCTCATTGTTAGCATTAGTTTTCGTAATTTCGTAATCTCCTACTTGTATAATTTGCCATACCTGATAGTTCTCTGATTGGACAAAGATTTCCATCTTATCCTTCCAATAAGAGTAGTATTTGCCGTTGAAGTATGGAGGCCTTTGAATGGATGTACTCCCGAATTCCTTTTCCTCTGTGTAAGCCATTCTCCCAGGAACTTGCTCAACAAGGTTGCCTGCGTTTTCTGAGTTCCCGCTCTGATACCAACTGAAAGTCTTAACTGGCTTCTACAAGGGGGGGGGGTGAATTATAGAATAGGTGAAGTTTAAAACTTTTTGCGGAATTTAACTAATAAGAACAGTAAAGAGAGATGATATGGGCTTTTATAAATTTCCACTATGTAATTAAACTCTTTACACGTGAAGATTAAAACCCGTAACAAATTCCACAAGTTTGGAACTTGTTCCCAACTCTCACGAAAGACTTCGACTATGAAGTTTCCTTAACCTCACTGATACAAAACTCACAATCCCAAACCCCAAGTACTTGATTACAAATTGCAATTACAAATACCTAGACACTCAAGAATATAAGAACAATTGAGAACTCTCTTACGTTATTTTAGTTACTGGATTATTGAAGCTCAAGAGGTGTATTTTGCAATGAATATGTACGTGGTTTATATAGGGAGATTTAATCCTTAACTTCCACCTTAACCACTTGCCAGTCAACACCCACTAACTAATAGTGGATAATGTGACAATGATCAAAGTAGCGGAGGTTTCTTAAACCTCTCCTTAAACACACGTAGCAGTCAACATGCTAAAGAATAGTTTCTGGAAAAACAGTTTTTGTTGAGATATTCATGCAACAAGAAAACAGTATTTGACTTGTTCAAATATTCTGTTTAAAAGATTATATTTTAAAAAGATTTTGTTTTGAAAAAGATATTTTATAAATTATTTTATTTATTAAAAACAAGGATAATTACTAAAATTAAGAAGATAATTATTTATTTAAAAACTAGATTAATTATTTTATAAAATATCTTTTCTAAAACAATATTATCATAAATCTTTTAAAACAGATTTTTATTCCAGTAACATGACTAATAACCTAAGTCATCGAGTTCCATTAGACTTATATTTTGAGAGCTCACATTTTAACACTAGATCATAAGATTTTGTATGAGGCCTTTTGATGCTACTCCGCATCCAAGTTCCTACTCCGGAACGAACTGTGCTTGAACCCTTTATTCACTAAAGACTCAAAAACTCTCATTAGTCAAGTTTGTCAGTTTGTCCATCAAAACCAAAAGGGTCAACACTGCCGCTTATTGAGAGGTGTGGCTGCTGGTTTATGGTGGCGCAATGGTGGGGGGAGGGGCGACGGGTTTTCTCGAGATGGGAGGAGGGCCGGTTAGGGTTTTCGAGGTGGGGGAAGGGTTTTTAATGGGGTTTTGGTGAGAGAGGGAGGGGGTTTCGGGGATGGGGTGGTGGTTTAGGGGGATTGGCGACGTCTAGGAAGGCCTGCACGCCGGCGAGGGTGGGTCTGGGAGCCGGCGGATGTGGGGTTGATGGTGGTAGGGAGAGGAAGGGTGGTAGTTGATGGTGGCTGGCTTTTTTTTTTTAATTTATTTAATTTAATTGTTAAAAAATTAAAATAAATCTAACCATAGTTAAATTTTAATAAAAAACTATCATTAAAGTTATAAATAACTTTATATAACAAATTCATGATTACCAAAGATAATTGAAATTTTTACTGTTATCATAGAGAAAATTAAAAAACTGATGAGAACCAAAGAGAATTTCCCAAATAATTTTAGGGGCCGTTTGGTTCGCTGGAATGGGTAAAGGGAATGAGGATGATTCCCTTTGTTAGTGTTTGTTTTCACTTATTTGTCATTCCCATTCCCCCATTTTATTTTTGGGTTTACCCAAAAATCTCCTAAACCAAATCACCACCCCCCTACCTTTTGCATTCCCATTCCCCAACCACCAGTCCACCACCATACCCTATCAACTGGATGCACCTCGCCGAAACTCACTTCACCTCGCCGGATGCTCGTTGACCTTCCCCCGACCTCGCCGCCCTTCGCCCGACCCTCGCCGCCCCTCCTCCCACCAAAAACCCTTCCCCGACCCACGTATAACCCTTAAAAAACCCTCCGGACGTGGTTTCTTGGCTGGGTTTCGGACGTGGTTTCTTGGCTGGGTTTCGGTCGTGGTTTCTTAGCTAGGTTTCGGTCGTGGTTTCGCCGCACCTCACCGGTGGTTCTTGGGGGTTGCGTGGGTTTGGATTTGGGGGTTGCGTGGGTTCAATTCGTGGGGTTGCTCAGCTGGGTTTCGTTTTGGTGGTTCTTGGGGGTGGCGTGGGTTTGGATTTGGGTCGTGGAGGTTTGGGTTCTTGCGGGTGGCTATTGGTTGGGCGGTGGGGTGGCTAGAGAAGGTGGAAAAAAATGAAGGATAGGTGTTGTGGTGGTGATGTGGTGGTGCAATGGTGGTGTGATTCCCTAACTTTTTTTGTAAACAAACAACATGCTTAATTTTGAGGGTTTCATTCCATTCTCCTCCATTCCCTTTCTACATTCCATTCTGATTCCCCTCTGCGAACCAAATGACCCCTTAATTTAGCAAAAATAAGGTGAAGTGAACAAGACCTTAATTACATCGTTTTTGCAGGCTTTTGAGCCTTTGATCACTACTAGTAGTCTAGTATGTTTCTAGTATCACATGTCGCGCTCTAATTGTCCACTTTGGGCTGGGCTAGGCTTAGTGACACATCACCTTGAGATTGGGTTATTTGTCGACCTTAGATTAGGCCTCGTGACCTAAAGTAGATTTACCTTAATCACGTGCAATTATAAAATATACGCATTTCTTTTTCTTTATTTTTTTCTTAAACTTAACTTAAAAATTTATACCTTTTCAAACATAAATTAACACAAAAAATTAACACTCTCAAACTTCTACTAGAGTGATACTAAATTACTAAGGGCACAAGCGGTATTACATGGTTTGTAAATAGGAGGGCAGAGGCACAAATTCGCATAGGTTGGGTTAAATGAAGGTGAGCTGACTTTTGTTTGACCCTGTTTCATTTTTGAGTTATACATACCATCAAATTTACGTACCATCAAATAGGTAAATAGTTTCATCAAATATTGTAGTGGTATAAATATTTGTCAAATGGTACAAGTGAGTATGTAAATTGTACATCAAATATTGTACCACTGTGAAATATAATAATTAATAGTACTACTAAGATAATTTATAATGTAATGGTATAATATACATGCATAATAGTACACAAAAAGTACCACTGTAACTATAAAAAGTATCATTTTGGATATCAAATGTACCATTTCACTTTCCCACTTTCTCCAAACTAGCCTCGTTACTTTTTTGCCTCCATCGTAATACTTTTTACCCAACTACACTGCCGGCTGTACATGGCCCCAACAAATACTTCAACTTATTTACAAATATTGCCATCCTATGCATGAAGAAATTAGTACCGCTAACAGCGGCGGACCTGCCTTTGTGCCTGGTGGGTCAAATGACTCACCAGGGCCCAAAAAAATTATTAAGTTTCTTAAAAAAAAAAAATTAAATAAATAAATTAGTTTGTTAATTATTGTGATTATTATTTTAGGTCCATTTTAAGCTTGTTAATTATAAGTTAGTATTGTAATCTTGTCAATTTTCTATTTGGATGATCTTTGTAAATAATTTTTCTTAGGAATTTTGGTAAAATTTTTTTTTTACATATTTGGTTATCGATTGTGACTCACCAGTCGGAAATTCCTGAGTCCGCCACTGACCGCTAATAGTTCTCTACAACTACGATTTTTTTTTTTTTTTGTGATTCATTACTACGAAATTTAAAATATTTTAAAATTATTTTTCCATGTAATTAGCAAGAATACGATCTAGTTTAAATAACTTCAAAATCCAACTCAAAAGCAAGTCAAACCACCTCCTTCATTACGTACGTGTGCTCATCAAATAGAAAGATAATTACTTGAGCCATTACATTCTCTAATCTAAAAATCATTTAAAATAAATAAAAAAATAAAAAAAATAAAAAACAGACGAAATTCATTGGCATCACTACAAAAAGTACCCACCACCATTTCTAATCATGTCACCCCTCTTCCATTGCCTTTTTCATTTCCAAACCCATAAAGTAAATTAACACTAAAAAAAAAAAAACAAATTTAGTCAGTCAAATAATAAATACATAAATTAAAAAATAATTTTGAAAAAAATATATTAGACCCATTAGTGAAAATTCCAAAAATACCCTTGGTAAACATCCGTTGAAGAAAGCGCCTTCTTTTTCACAAATCTCCAAACAAATTTTGAAATACGTCGTCGTCGCCGTTAACCTACCTCTTCCTTTCTTCTTTCCATTTCTCTCTCCTCCCTCTTCTTTTATTTCTCTCTCTAAATTCATTTCTTCTTTTTTTTTTTCTCTTTTCCTTTTTTTTTTTTATTATTAGTTTTAGAGAGAGAAAGAAGGTTCAACGACGACGAGTCAAACCCACTCCCACTCACTTTCTCTCTCCTCTCTCCTCTCTCCTCTCTCCCGCCTACTTTGACTCACTCACCTCAACTCGCCCGAGTTTTACTACTGTAACAGCAGGAGAGAGAAACTTCAAACTTCAAACTTCAAACAACAAAGATCTGCTCAATTTCTCACTAATTTTTTCAGCTATTTTCAACTTCGAAAGCATTTTTAAAAAATTAAGCTGAAATCTGAAATAAAAATTGAAAAAAATTGAGTAAGAGTGATTTCCGATCAAAGTATATCTTCGAAAGCGCGAGAATCTAGGTGAATTTTGAAGAGGGATTAAATAATGAATATATCACGGGGGTTGTTTGGGTGGTCCCCACCACACATACAACCGTTAACGCCGGTATCGGAAGTATCGGAACCACCGGAGTCGCCGTCTCCGTACATGGATATGAATCCGGAAGGTACGGGGACGGCGGCGGAGATGGAGGATGAAATGGAGGATGATAATGAGGATGAGATCGAGCCGCCACCGGCTGCAGTTCCTTTTTCCAGACTGTTTGCTTGTGCTGACCGACTTGATTGGTTTCTTATGGCGGTTGGATCGCTTGCTGCTGCTGCTCATGGGACGGCGTTGGTTGTTTATTTGCATTATTTTGCTCAGATTATTCAGCTTCTTTCGTTGAAGTCTGTTACTGAGGAGGACTTGCATAGTAGGTTTATTGAGGTATGCTTGCTTTTTTGTTTGCTCAAACCCTAGGTTTTTGTTTTTAACTTTTGTTGATTTTATTTTATGATATTTTGTTTATGTGTTGTTTTGGGAGTGTACAATTGATGTATGAGATTGAGATTTTAGAGTGGTTTTGTGTGAAAGAATCACATTTGTGTTCCGAATTCGGAGTTTTTTTAATTAGAGTAGAGAGCTTACTTTCCTTAATTTTAGGTTATTGAGGAAATTCTCAATTGCCACTTGAATGACACTTAGACGTCGACTTAAGATAGATGACATTGTTTTTTATGAACAGCCTGTAATTATTCGTGGGGTGTTTGTTAGATTGTCATTTAGGCTGGAGGAGAGATGATGGATTTGTCTCTTTAAGCACGAGGAAAAGCTGCCCTCAATTGATACGAGCCTACATAATCTGATTTTTCAATTTATGATCTTCTATACTGTTTCTTTACTTCACATAGGTTTTTCTCCAGTTGCCCATTGTTAGTCATATACTTTTCCTTAGTGGAATTGTGGCTTGATCAAGTGATGAGTTGTTTATTCTGTATATTTGGATATAAATTAGCCATAGGAGAATGATCACACTTCACAAGAAATCAAAATTGTACAGTTTTGGGAAGAAGAGGAGTGTGGCCGTAGCTTTGAGTAATCTGTTTGTGCATTTACAGAAAACTATAATAACAAAACTAAGCTTATTGGTTCCACCATTTTGCGAAGTGCAGAAATGAAAGTGCTCACTCTCTTACCAAATACCAAGTGTTTGGTGCAATTTTTTTTATTTTTTATTTTTGTGGGTTTCCATTTCTGTGCATACTTTCCCTAACTCAAGGAATAATTTTTATTCCTGCCTCCCCTTAATATTTCAAATTCCATGTAATGCATAACCAAGCCAATATAAGTACCCCCCCTCCCCCCCCTTAAGGTGTCGAGTTCCATTACGTACAGTTGATGCAAATCCAAGCCAGTATCATCACCACCTCCCCATTAGAGGCACCCATACCACCATGGCATCAGCATGATCACCAATTATAATCCAGCTTAACATTGCACCATTTCTCATCTTCCCCTTTAATCTTCTTTCTTTTCTCTCCACTTTCTCATGAAAAATCAGGGCTAGGGAGGAAGGAGAGGATAGAGATTGTAACATACCATTTTGACGGTTGTGCCTGTCCAAAATTCACAATATATGAACCCTATTGACCAAGGAAAAGTTCAATTTAACATCACTAGGTCAATTCTGACTATGTTAGTGTAGAAATCACTAAATCAGCCTATCCATGGTTATTGACACTGCAATTATGATGAAGGAGGGAAGAGATGGTTGGTGGGTTGTGACTTGTTAGGTGGGAGAAGATAAGGGAGGATGGGGGGTTCATATATCATGAAATTCTGATTTTATTAATTACTAAGCGTCTTGGATGCTTTAACAATTTGTTCCGTGAAGACCATGTTATCTTGACATATTTCTGGAAAGATATATAAAAATGGATACTCTGCGTATTCCTATATTTAATAGAGTAGGTGACTTGTGTTAGCATAATTTTCAATTAGGTAGAATTTTTATTCACGGAGCAACAGAGTAGCTCTCAAAAAGAAGTGCTTATCTTGTCTGGGAATTTTATGAGTTAATGCTCTCTATTTTGCTTCAGATTTTAATTAAATTCCCCTTCCATGCACTTTTACATTGCAACTGTCTAAAGTGTTTTGTGGGCTTCTTTTCATGCTGCCAAGTTAGTAAAGAATCCTTTTGTGGTGTTATCTGTCAACAGCTTGTGAGGGCTGCTTATGTGTTTATAATGGTTATGATTCTTTTCTAATGCTGTCCCCATTGTGTATTTCTTCTCTTCCCTGCCTCCCCTTTAATTGATCCACAACTTACTCTTTGTTCTCTTACTCACTCCTCTTGACCTCTCCACTCTACATCATGCCATTTGTGTACTCAAACAACCAGTTCATGGTCACATTCAATGACAATCTCTAGGAGAAACCATTGAAGGCCATTGTCATAATATTTTTTTTTTTTTTTTTTTTTTTTTTTTTTTTTTTTTTTTTTTCGTATAGTAGACTTAGCCTCACTGATTGTAAAGGAAGGAAGGATCCGGGGGAGGGGGTTGGTTAGGTCTTAAAGTTAGGAAAGGATAGTGGCACTGTTTCACTGTGATAGGTTATATGCAGTACAGTGATGGGGGCCAGGTGACAAACCAGGCTATGAAGTTACCAGAAAAGTTAGGATATCAACATGAAAGTCTAAGCTTCTGGTAGGTTTTGTAGTTAAGGGTTTTGGGATATAGTTTGTTTGATCAGGTTTCACTCACTGGATACAAGTACTTGCATGGTTTCCCACTCTAACACAACAAGTCTTTGGTTTCATTTCCGCTCATGAATTCAAAGAGTGTATAACAAGGCGCAAAGAAATTTTAAATGTTTCATTAATTCACAAATCTAAATGATTCATTTATGAGGGGTCTAATGTATAGGCGTAGCATGATTTTTGTCCAAAACTCACAAGCATGAACTCTAACGCTGTTAACCCTTACTCTTAATCAATGTATAAAAAAGCTCAAGGCACAATGAGGCGATAAAGGTACTACTGCGCCTAGGCACACCTTGGGGGCATGCTTCAGTGTGCCTCTTTGAAGTGAGGCGTGCACCTCTTTGAAGTGAGGCACACAATATAAAACAATCAAAGAAATTTGCTTATGTGCTCCTCATGTCCCTCAAGTGCGCCTCTTTGAACGCACCTTGCCTAGAGCATAAAAAGGCGCTAGCGCCTCAGTGTTTTTATACACCGCTCTTAATCTCAACCAGCATAACATAAAATGTCCCCTTGTTGGATAACGAAATTTCAGCTTATTAAACAGATAAATAAAATGCAAAATAGTCAGCCTAAAATTAGAATACTATATAAAAAAAATCCTTTATTACAATTTTTGCTAAAGCCTTCCAAGTCTATGCGCATATTTTTGCGTTTACTTGGAATATATGCCATATTAGAACTATGTCTACATGTAAATTCAGGTTTATGCTTGTTGGGCCAGTTCTATGTATATTAGAGCCAGCTAACTGTCCATGTGAATGGAGTATACAATCATTGCATTATAAATCACTTAAATCTGGCTTGCCAAAAAGAATGGCATCTGTATAGAAAGTTCAATTAGACACTTAATATGAGTGTGCCACATCTCTCAAATTATGGTGCTGTTCCACCTTGTCTCTCTTGTGTTTTTTTGGCTGATTCTTACGAAGTCATGTTGAAATTTCCTTCAACTTATAAACATACGCCTGACATATAAGTGTTTTGAGGTGATGGATTCCATAGGTGGAGAACTGAATTCCTGTAGGGTGTTATATACTCTTATGGTTAAGGATGTTTTTAAGTTTCCCTCCAAAAAAAAAGGATGTTATAAGTTGTTTAACTTGATATTTTGGATTGAATTTTGAATATTTATTCCCAAACCATAAATAAGTGATTAATATTGGTGAATCCATATGTAGGTGGCATTCAGTGAGTAGATTTCCGTTTGGTTAGATTGGCAGTTTGGAATGAGATATACCAATTAAGGGGATAGCAGGATAAAAACAAAGAGATTGTGAATGGTTTGTGGTTGTTTGTATTTGGTGGAAAGGAGACGACGAATAGATTACCTCTTAATCCAGATAATAGTTACCTACTCCTCTAGGGCTAAACATGAAGGATAACAGCTCTCAGTATAGCCTTTTCCTTTAATCAACAATTCACCACCACCTTCAACTTTCTATTACCTCATCCAAAATTTCCTTATTCCAAGCATGGTCTCTAAGGTATTTTGCCCTTAGATTTATTTCATAGTGTGTATTTTGGTGGAGTTTGTTCTTTCTTTTCCTTCCATTTTCTTAGTAAAACGATATTAGTACCTAATGGACCGCTTGATATCACTGCCAGTTTTCAGTTTTTGGTTTTATGATTCTGAAAGTTTTGATTTAGATTGAACAATGAACTTAAAATTAGTCCTATCTATAATAATCATGTTAATTTTGAAAGCTGTCAGCATACAACCAGAAATCTACTTATTGTGGTTTCATGATTTGGTTTTTAGCTTTATAAGAAACAAAATGAGCATGCCCTAATATTATGTATGGTGACAGTTTACTTGTGATGCTGAACAATTCATTGGCCAGCTAGTTGGTTTGTGTTAGTTCTCCCTACCTCGCTTAAGACCTACAAGAAGGATGAACAAAGTTTTAAAGTGATTGGTTTTAAGCAAGTTCTCAATATAAGCCGACTCAAGTATAAATTTGGGTTTAGATTGATTATTAAAGATAGTTTAATTTTATTGATTGGAGAACATATTAATTAATACTTCTGTTTCATGCTGCAGCTCACTCTAAGAATTGTCTATATAGCTGCTGGCGTGTTTGCTGCTGGGTGGATTGGTAAGTTTAAGCCTGGATCCTTTCTTTGTGAATCTTATACATCAGGCCAGATCATTCTAATGTGCTCAAGTCATCAAAGCTAACAAATTCCATTTATAGAGGTCACCTGTTGGATTCTTACCGGCGAGCGACAAACTGCTGTAATCAGGTCCAAGTATGTACAAGTGTTATTAAATCAAGATATGAGTTTCTTTGATACATATGGAAACAATGGAGACATAGTTAGCCAAGTCTTGAGTGATGTGCTGCTTATTCAATCAGCGTTAAGTGAAAAGGTACCCTTTATTGCTTACGTGATCATAATGGATTTAAGTGGTTTGATTTATCTTCTTCATTTATTTTCTAAATAATGTGTTTTTGTGCATCAGGTTGGTAATTATATACACAATATGGCAACATTTTTCAGCGGTCTTGTTGTTGGATTTATCAACTGTTGGCAGATTGCCCTGATAACTTTAGCAACTGGGCCATTCATTGTTGCTGCGGGAGGAATCTCGAATATATTTCTTCACAGGCTTGCGGAGAATATCCAGGATGCGTATGCAGAAGCAGCGAGCATTGCTGAACAGGTTTTACATTTGTCACTTTTAGAGCCAACTATTGAATAGCAAAACTAGAAATTCTTTAGTTAATTAGTCATGTGAAAATAAACTTTTCTTCATGTTATGGTTTGTACTTTGCTGTAGACAATATGGATATGCTATTTCTTTTCTCCCCGCAATTTGATTAATCTCCTTGTATGCTACAACATGTGTTATTTGGAAGTCTAGTCATTCATCTTTAGAAGGTGGTTCTGTAGAAGAAAAAGGAGGTGTAAACCTAGTGAGTGTGGTTCAAGGTAAGAATTGCTTTTTGCATGGTTATAAGTATCTACACAAAAGAGGGTGATGAAAAGAGTTAAAATACAAGAATGTGAGTGGAATATTTTGTGTGGCCTTACAATGCACTACCTTTGTTACCAAGAGTTCTGAACATTTATTGTTTACAACACAAATTAAGGCAATTGGAGTGAGTGTTGATGTGGTAAGTAGACGTAAGATAAAGGTGGATAAAATAAGGAAGAGAGAGTACAAAGAGGTGGGTGAGTGTAAGAAATATGTAAATATAGTAAGAGAGAGTGAGCGGAAAGATGTATGTATTGTAGGGTAAGCCAAATATAGAATAAGGTGGAAGAAGACGGAAAGTATTAATAACTTTTAGAAATGGAGGTAGACAGGTAGTAAGTGATACTCGAAATGAAAACAATAAGTATACAAAGTTGTATAAATACTCACCTATTACCTTCACTTCTCTTTTGGGATTTTTCTTTTTCTCATATACCTGGTGAAACAATGAAACATGGGGGTAGGGGCATCTAATCTCTTGTAGCAAGGGTATCAAATGTCTCTAGCATTGCATGGAGGGAGAGAGAGGAGAGTTACAAACTATTTTCATCCTTATTGCCAAACAATGAAACTTGGGGGTAGGGGCATCTAATCTCTTGTAGCAAGGGTACCAAATGTCTCTAGCATTGCATGTTGATCTTTACTTGGAGCCAATGGTGTTCCTGCAAAACGAAGAGCTGTTAGTAGTAAAGGAATCTCTAAAGCACCGACTTTATCCTTATCTTGGAGAAGAAATTGTTATCATGGGAAGGAAGTTGCAGGCCGAACCTCCGTTGATTGAATAATGGTTGGGGTGAACTGGAGGATGGGAGGGATCACTTGAAGCCTTGAAGGAGTTGCAAAAAAATTATCACAAGAAATCTCTTGATAAGCCATACTCATGGCTACAAACTGCAGCCTGGCCATAATGGTTATCCTTACCTTCACTACATTCTTTCAGTGGACCTAACAATCGCATACTAATTATGTTTGGATTCCACTAATGATGATTCTGACTTTAAACCACAATAATGTCCATAAAGCTGTGTCTTTGATCTTGAGTAAGAGGTTTGCCTACAACTTTCTCCTTAACATTTGTTGGTATGGTGTGTTGCTCTTGTTCACGAGGCTTGGTTGCACCAAATTTATTATTTATGACTTTGGGAGCCTCTTCTTGCCATTTGCTGGTCCTCTTTTTTCTTCAAACTCCTCATATCCTTCATAAGATTTCAACGTCGGGAGCCATCTTTTCCCTCCTTTCATTGAACCTCCTATTTTCTCCTAAAATTCAGTTAATTGCAAGTACTTCACAAGTTCGTCTTCCTTTTCTATTACCTCAATAGTGGCAACAACAAAATCCTTGGTCCATTCTAGACTTGATTTTACTTTATTTGATGGAATTCTAGCATGAAAATGAGGTATTTGATCGTAAGGGATTGCAGAGGTTGATTTTTGTGGATGACTATACTGAATATTCAATTTTAGTCCATGTAGCCGACCCTACTTATGGGATTAAGGCTTTGATTGATTGATTGCTGGAATTCTCTAACATTGGAAGAGCTTAGGCAAGGTTAACAAAGGCTAATTTTTTGTTTTGAGTCTCAATGCTGCCATTTCTCGCCTAAAAAAAGCCTTAACATATCCTCATTTAAGAAGTTTCCCTTCTTGAGAGAACTTGCTGCTGAATTTTGAGTTGATGGAAGTAGCTAGATCCAAAATACTTTCTGTTTTCTCCTCATGACTACTAGTACTAAATCTAGACAAAAGATAACACCTTGGTAGTAAAAAGTTATGCATGTGAATAACTAAACTGAATGAATCTTGCTTGTAGAGGTTATTACTGTATTCTTTCAAACCTATAACAAACCCACTTATACCTTAATAAATTTCCGATTGAAAATAAATTTGAACAAAAAAAATCATTTACTTCAATTGAGAGATTACTTCAAATGAGATAAGCACAAGTTCCCCCCTTAAGCTCCTCATAACTACCCATGATTATGCTAGGATTTGTATGGTCATAAAATTTTTACACTTTACTTTTTGGCGTCAATTTGAAATTTTTGACCAAATATTGCTATTCATACATTTATCAAAATATTATCATGTGGGTCGTGTTTAGTATTTTTATAATTTTTACTAATACGTAATTAGAGATAACAATGGTCAAAGGTATGCATTGTAGGTTGTAAAAAAGCGAGTGCAACCATTTATGCTTTAGATAAAACTTTTGAAATTATAACCACCTCTGAACACAAGTAACCAACTGTAGAGAAATCTATCACTTAAAAATGGGAGATTGCTGAAGTTAGTGTAGATACTAAATACAAACTAGCTTTTGTTGTTTGGTGTATATGCTTGACCCCATTCTTTGGCATCACTATCTTATTGTTCAATTGGAGTAGCCACTAGAGATCCAATGTTGTCAAAGGCATTACAACACCCTAGATCCAGTCTCATCGTTTGCAATTGGAATTAAGTTCCAAAGGACTATTTTTGTCGTTAGAAAAGGCTTGGAGATGTAGGGTAACTATTGCTTGCCATTGACTAGTGGTCTTTGAAATGAGCAGCCAGTGAACTTTGCCTCTACTTTGGGCTGACAGGAATGAGTTTGGTAGAAAGACGATATTACATGGACGAGATTCTATTTGCACTATAGAAACTTCTTCTCTGTTAAAAAAAGTTGTAAAAATATAGCCATGATATTTGAATCTCGTGTGTACTCTGTAATTGTTATTTCCAAAGACGATCCTTTTTCTAGTATGGGCCGAATTTTGAACTTACTCAGGCAAGATATGCCATTATTACTTGGCATATATTTTACTCATGAAATAGACATGTCTGACCAAATATGTTTAAATTGCACTAAAAATCTGTGTGGATTTATCTTGATATTTTCATGCCACAACTATGATGGAAGTCTGTTTACATTATGATGTGCTTTTCAATGTAATAAATATCACTTATCATAAGACTTTGAATGCTAAGGCTGATGCATGCACGTGTGATATAAATTTGAGCAGTGCACGTTTGTTTCGTGTCTGGTATATTATTGTGGTCTGTTGAAAACAACTCAGCTTGGCTCTTTTAATGCCACATTTTCTTAAGATGTTTGTATTTCTTAAATGTAGTGGTGATGATTTAAGTGCTTTTGCATGCTGTCTGCATGCTGTCTTACGTTAGAACATTATATGCATTCGCACATGAGACGTTGGCCAAGTTTTCTTTTCATGCTACTTTTTTTTTTTTTTTTTTTTTTTTTTTTTAATGTGTTTGTGATGATCTCAATGCTTTTGCAGGCTGTTTCTTACATTAGAACCCTATATGCATTCACAAATGAGACGTTGGCTAAGTATTCTTATGCAACATCGCTTCAAGCAACCCTCAGATATGGTATATTAATTAGTCTTGTGCAAGGGCTGGGGCTTGGCTTTACATACGGACTGGCCATTTGTTCTTGTGCACTGCAGCTTTGGGTAGGAAGATTTTTGGTGACTCGTGGAAAAGCTCATGGCGGGGAAATAATTGCAGCACTCTTTGCTGTGATTCTGAGTGGCCTGTAAGAATCTTTGTTTTATTGATATCCTTTAACTAGCTGATCATAAACTTGTTATTATTGAGTTATTTACCTTTTTTCCTTGTTTCAGCGGGTTGAATCAAGCAGCAACAAACTTCTATTCTTTTGAGCAAGGACGGATTGCTGCTTATAGACTATTTGAAATGATAAGCCGTTCATCCTCTACTACAAATCATGATGGGAACACTTTAGCTCCTGTTCAGGGTAACATTGAGTTTCGAAATGTGTATTTCAGCTATCTGTCTCGTCCTGAGATACCTATCCTAAGTGGGTTTTACCTCACTGTTCCTGCTAAAAAGGCTGTTGCACTTGTTGGGAGAAATGGCTCTGGAAAGAGCAGTATCATTCCTCTCATGGAGCGTTTTTATGATCCTACATTAGGTAACATGACTTCTTTTCTTCAGTGTCAAAAATATTGTTCTTGTTATCTGACTGTAGCCAGCTGTGATCCTATACACTACAATATTTATGATGTATTTTCTTCTATTGCAGGGGAAGTCCTCCTTGATGGAGAGAATATAAAAAATCTCCAACTGGAATGGCTAAGAAGTCAAATCGGTCTAGTTACGCAGGAACCGGCTTTACTAAGCTTAAGTATCAAAGACAATATTGCTTATGGGCGGTCTGTTTCTTCAGATCAAATTGAAGAAGCTGCTAAAATAGCACATGCGCATACATTTATTAGCTCACTTGAGAAAGGATATGATACTCAGGTAGAACTTCTGATATACATATTTTTACTTCCTCCGTTCCCTAATACAAAGCCTCATTTCCTTTTTGGGTAAACCAAAATACAATGCCTCTTTCTATTTAAAGGTTGTATATTTTTACATCATTACCCTTTTTTTGATGAGTTGTCATCTTTTTTCCTTTACTTTTTTGTACTTTTAACATCAATTTCCAACACTTTCTCTCTCTCTCTCTCTCTTCAATTATTCCCAACTACTTTTTCTTTCTCTCTATCTCTCTCTAACCCCACATGTACATATGTACTTTTAATCATTAATTTTAAAGAATTTACAACTTTCTTAATTCCCGCGCAAAAACCAAGAGGCTTTGTATTAGGGGACGGAGGGAGTATTGATTTGGAGCATGTGGTTGTTTGCCTCTGTATTTGGAGCATGTGGTTGTTTGCCTCTGTAATACATGTTTTTTTTGGATCCCTTGTGTTTGGTGTTACTCACACCCCACGCACATTTCCATCACAATTCACAATTAATTGTTTGTTTCAGGTGGGCCGAGCTGGTTTGGCATTGACAGAAGAGCAGAAGATCAAGCTCTCAATCGCAAGGGCAGTGCTCTCTAATCCGTCTATTCTTCTCCTTGATGAGGTCACTGGAGGACTTGATTTTGAAGCTGAAAAAGCTGTTCAAGAAGCATTGGATCTTCTTATGTTAGGGCGTTCCACAATAATAATTGCCAGGCGGCTTAGTTTGATTAAAAATGCTGATTACATAGCTGTCATGGAAGAGGGTCAACTTGTTGAAATGGGCACACATGATGAATTACTGAACTTGGATGGTCTTTATGCTGAACTTCTTAAATGTGAAGAGGCAGCCAAACTTCCTAGGAGGTAGGGCATGCACTTGAACTCTTTCCACATTCTTTCATGTGATGATCTTTTGCTGATGATGGTCTTGTTAATAATTTTAAGCTATGTGCATTTCTAAGTCTTGTTCATAAATGACTATTAAAGTTATGTTGCTTGCTTCTAGGAACTTAATGATATTGTAAATTTCTTCATTATTTACTTCCAAAATTTCCTTTTACAGGATGCCAGTAAGGAAATACAAAGAGGGAGCAACTTTCCAGATTGACGGTGACTTGTCTGCAAGCCACAACTTCCAAGAATCATCATCTCCTAAAATGGCGAAATCACCATCTCTTCAGAGAGTTTCTGGTGGCCATGCTTTTCGGATGTCAGATGCTGCTTTTAGCTCTCTAGAGTCACCAAATGTTCGAAGTCCGCCTTCTGAGCAGTTAAAGGAAAATGGTAATGGCAATTTATTAGATGAAGCAGAGAAGGAACCATCTATGACCAGGCAGGACAGTTTTGAAATGAGACTGCCAGAGTTACCAAAAATTGATGTTCAAGCTGCACGACGACAAACCTCTAATGCATCAGATCCTGAATCCCCAGTTTCACCACTTTTAACATCTGATCCCAAAAATGAACGTTCCCATTCACAAACCTTTAGTCGCCCTAATAGTGAAATTGATGACATGCCAACAGTTAAAGAAAAGAAGGATTCACAAAATCGTAAGCCACCTTCATTTTGGAGGCTAGTTGAGCTTAGCCTTGCAGAATGGCTGTATGCAGTTTTAGGAAGCATTGGTGCAGCTATATTTGGTTCCTTTAATCCTCTTCTTGCTTATGTTATTGCATTGATAGTAACCACTTACTACAGATTTAGTGAAGGTCACCATCTACGGCATGAGGTTGACAAATGGTGCTTGATCATTGCATGCATGGGTATTGTGACTGTGGTTGCCAACTTCTTGCAGCATTTTTACTTTGGTATTATGGGAGAGAAAATGACTGAAAGAGTCAGGAGGATGATGTTTTCAGGTACCTGATTCTACATTTAAGCTATGTTTTCAATTTCTTAATTTCAAATGGTACTTATTGTGCAAACCACATGTATCTTGTTTATGTAATACTTTTGGTCCATTGGCTTTACAGCTATGCTACGAAATGAAGTTGGATGGTTTGATGATGAGGAAAATAGTGCCGACACTTTATCCATGCGATTGGCTAATGATGCAACATTTGTTCGTGCTGCCTTTAGTAATCGTCTTTCTATCTTTATACAAGATAGTTCTGCGGTAATAGTGGCTGTTCTCATTGGAATGTTGTTACAATGGCGATTAGCCCTGGTGGCTCTAGCAACACTTCCAGTCCTCACCATCTCTGCTGTTGCGCAGGTTTGACTTGCTCCCTTCTAGTTGGTATTTAATTAATTAGTAGATATTCGTATCTAGGTTTTGGAGTGGTTTTGTTAGAATTTAGAAAGACAAGTTTGGCTTTTTGGTGGTTAGAGTTAGAGTTTTATAGTATTATTACCATCCGAATTTCCAATATTTCGTCTTAAGCAAATTATTCACGTCCTTGTTTCTCAAATTTCTATGCGTGGTGCTGTAGCCACGTGAACCTTTGGTTTTACTGCAATTTCTGTATTAATAAGTTTACACAGTGCTTATAGCTTACAGCGGATATCTCACTATTGGTAAGTTTGTAGAACTACTAAAGCCTACTATAAGTGTGCTGAATGGCTTTCTCTTTTAACAGGCCCTTGATAACACGTCAAGAATGGTTTGTTTTCCCTTTATTGTGTTGGTTATTATTTAGGTCATTTAGTCTCATAAAGCAGTTTTCATCTTAAAGAGGCTGATAGTACATAATGGCAGTTAGCAGATCATCTTTATATCTGGTCATTTCCTAGTTCCCACAATTTTGCATTGGTAATAACTTTTATTTATATGAAGTTCCTACATCATCCTTTCTTTTAATAAAGGATACTTGCTGTCTTAGTCATATAATCACTGCCTTAGGAGTTTGTTTCAAACTATGATATTTTACTAATGAGAAAGGAAGGTCCCTTACTGCCTTTTGTTTTTCCTTGCTACCTACTAATTATAATAATAGAAAAAAAATTCCACACACACATTAAGGTCATTAACTTCAATAAAATTAAAATAAAATAAAAGAAAAAAGAAAAAAGATCTACCAACATACTACCAACTTCTACACAATTAAATACCATGTCATATAATATAATTGAATCGCCACCTAAAACTATGTAGTGGTTAATATGTGTCAAGCTCAAGTATTTATGGACAAAGGGAGTAGTTGAGAAGAATTGTGTGAATGTGTGTAGCTGTTTGCCTGTTCCATGAACACAGTTTTGTGCTAATAGTGTGACCATATTTCAAGGAAATTCTTTATTTGTGGGTTTATGTTGCACAATTACATCTTTGTTCCCAATTTTGGTAAGTTTAAAATTACGACAATAGCAACATATATCCCAGTGCCTCTAAAATTTAAACAACCCTACCTGTGATAACAGAAAGGTTGTTTCCGCTAGACTTCCACATCAAAGTTTGAAGATTTACAGATTTTACTTATCCTGCAGTATTAATTTAGCAGACATCAGTTTTTTTTCAAAAAATGATGTGTTTTCAGAGTCTGATCAGTTCCTAAATTTGTTCTGCAGAAATTATGGCTTGCCGGATTTTCTAGGGGAATTCAAGAAATGCACAGAAAAGCATCTTTAGTCCTTGAAGATGCAGTAAGAAATATCTATACTGTTGTGTCTTTTTGTGCGGGAAACAAGGTGATGGAGCTCTACAGAATGCAGTTGAAGAAAATACTCAGGAAGAGCTTTCTTCATGGGATGGCAATTGGTTTTGGTTTTGGCTTTTCTCAGTTTCTTCTATTTGCCTGTAATGCGCTTCTTCTGTGGTACACGGGGATATCTGTCAAGAACAAGTACATGGATCTTTCTACAGCTCTCAAAGAATACATGGTATTCTCCTTCGCCACCTTTGCTCTGGTAGAGCCATTTGGTTTAGCTCCCTACATTCTTAAACGCCGGAAATCTCTCATCTCTGTATTTGAAATAATTGATCGCGTGCCTAAGATTGAACCAGATGATGCCTCTGCCCTCAAACCGCCCAATGTTTATGGAAGCATAGAATTTAAGAATGTTGATTTTTGTTATCCAACACGTCCAGAAGTCCTAGTGCTGAGCAATTTCAATCTCAAAGTTGGGGGTGGTCAAACTGTTGCTGTAGTTGGAGTATCAGGTTCTGGGAAGAGCACTATAATCTCTCTGATAGAGAGATTTTATGATCCTGTTGCTGGTCAGGTTTTCCTAGATGGGAGAGATCTGAAGCAGTTCAACTTGAGATGGTTGAGGAGCCATCTAGGTGTAGTTCAGCAGGAACCAGTAATTTTCTCGACTACAGTAAGGGAAAATATCATCTATGCAAGGCATAATGCTAGTGAAGCTGAAGTAAAAGAAGCAGCAAGGATTGCAAATGCTCATCATTTCATTAGTAGTTTGCCCCATGGCTATGACACCCATGTCGGTATGAGAGGTGTAGATTTAACTCCTGGGCAGAAACAGCGAATAGCTATTGCTAGAGTGGTACTGAAAAATGCACCCATCTTGCTGTTAGACGAGGCAAGTTCTGCTATTGAGTCAGAATCTAGTAGAGTAGTGCAGGAAGCCCTGGATACGCTAATTATGGGAAATAAAACAACCATTCTCATCGCCCACAGGGCTGCAATGATGAGACATGTGGACAATATTGTTGTACTTAATGGTGGTCGGATAGTTGAGGAAGGGGCACATGATGCTTTGGTAGCAAAGAATGGGTTGTATGTTCGTTTGATGCAGCCTCATTTTGTAAAAGGACGTCGCCACAATCGACTAGTTTAGATTGGACTACGGTATTGATCTTTGTTTTTGGATCAGTCGAAGGTGATCTCAGTCAGCCCTAGTATATATTGTTGACTCTTTAAGTAAATGTTAATTATTATTTTAGTCACAATCTCACAAAGATTGGGAGAGGAAAGAGTTGGAGGCTTCATGGTTTGGCCATGGTAACAGTAATAGGTCTTTACACTTGGTGAATATAGGATCTAATTAGGCTGTGTGGAGTTCTATTAGCCTCTGGAACGGGCTGTCGGAGGTCAGTGCATTTTTTGGAGACAGCTTGTAAGTAGCCCTTGGGTTGCTTCGTCCGGATGAATCATTTATTAATATTTATCAATTCTATTGGGGAAAAGTGTATTATTTTTGGGTGATTTTTTTTCTTATTTTTTGTTGCTGTGCTAGGTTTCTTTTCACCTATTGTATTGATTTAAGAATTTATTTACCGGTGTAATATTTTTAACATAGAACCCTTGAGTAGTGAGGAGTGGAGAATTAGTTGTAATTTTCTGTAAATATACGAAGTATATACAGGATACTGCGTTTTGAATCATTTTTGATTGTTGAGCTTTGGAGTGTCAATTCATGTCTCAATTCTACTTTTATCTGCATAGCCTTTCATTCTGACTGCAATTTATCATCCCTGTGTATTGTTTGCGTTGATCGTATCACTTCTGATTGTTTGATGCAGCATTTTCTTTTTGAATCAAAATTTCATGTTCATTTCCAGTACTATATATACCAGTGGTACAGACGTGTACAGCAAATGGCATAGTGTAGCTGTATAGGTAACTGCTTTTGCTGCCAGTTATGCATGTACAACTGATTTAATGTCCATAATCTGTTTTTGATGAGAGTACGAGGAGTTCTGAATCTACGTCTCTACAGAAGTAGTTTTATATGAGTTATACTACTAGATTTCAAACACCTTAAAGGAGTCAGCCACGACTTTAAGCTTGTTTCGTACTCTTCTCCATCTTCGCTCGTTAGCACTAACAGTTAATGTGTAGTACCTCCCTGAGTACAAAGCAAATTCAAGTAAATTACAGTGAAGCAAGGTACATTAGGCTTGTAAAATCATAATGTGGCTCTAGAATGATGCATTGCATGCCATTATATTATTGTCTATATCAAAAGTTTCCCTAGGCCTTTTGACAAAAGTCAGAAGCTGTTAGCTGTTGCTGCTGAACTAATTGTTAGCATGATTAATTTGAGTAATAGTTGAATTGCTGATTATTAACATTGCTTACCATTTGCAATGGCAATAGTTGTGAAATGGGTAACGGAGAAATTTGGAGATGTGAGCTGGTACTCGAAAGTCCAGTAGTTCTTTCCATCCACTGAACGCTGCATTCAGCAATCAAAACCATTCAGCAATTTGAAATTTTACTGATATCTGAGGTTCATATGCTGGTGTTACTTACCTCCTGAATTTCTTTTATGAAAGTCAATTGGTTTGGAGCTGCAAGTATATTTGTCACCAAATTTTGAACAACCTGTTAACCATGGGAACAAGAAGAAAGAATTTACAACTCCTGAAATATCGATTAACTTATAATAGAAGGTGTATATGAATGGTGGAATTTACATCTTGCATAGGACCCAAATCATGGACGTCGTTCTTGTCAGTAGGTATGAAGCTCACCCTCACATTCTGAAGCTGTAAGTATCGGTCCTTGAACGCTGAATCATGCGCCCTGAAGTCAAATTCCTGAAAAAAAAAAAAAAAAAAAAAAAAAAAAAGAGTTCATTAAGAGATCCTGTCTGTTAAAGGAATTCAGCAAAGGACAATATGTCAATAAGTGGTAGATACCCTCCAGTCTGACGGGTAAACATAAGAATAGCCGTCTTCTTTGTCAACGAATGCTGTATAATCTTCTGAGGTTTCTGTGAGACTAAAAAGTTGAATCAGAAGAGTAGTTTATGGACTTCTTATTGATAAATGTTGAAGCAAATGAAACAACTTTCAGCGAAAAGTATAATTCAAAGTGATACCTTTACTCAGAGCAGAACTTGGAGGGATAGAACTTACAGCTAGCATGCCAGTTGCCATCAGTAGTGATCTTCTTTCATAACAACCTGATATGATCGGAACGAAGGGTTATGACTTGTGCTTGATATGAGGATTGCGCTCAATAATGTTGCTTACAATCCCTTACAAAGGAAAACTATTTTCCACCCTTTACAGATTAAACAATTGAAAACGAGAAAATCATTTTCCAGGAAAATGTTTTCCGTCAAAACATTTAGTGTTTGTTGGGTAATGTAATGGTTGAATTTTAGTCTTGTAATGAGTTGGGTAATGAGTAGAGAAATTTACAGGAAAAATTATACACTATGAAATTCTTTTTGTCAAGAATGTTTAAATTATGTTGATAGTGTAATTGGAATTAGAAACATGACAAATAATTCCGGACATGATAACTATATATACGTAGATAAATGAACATCCAAAGCAATTCATCACAAAATCAAATTGTGAAAGAAAATTGAATGGGTTACTTACTTTTGTCTAGAGAAGATGAATCCTGTAAACTTGATCTTATGTTACAGTGTGATGGTAATGATATAGTGGAATTTGTTGAATAAGTGCTCATAATCTGTTGCACATCAAAAAAAAAAAAAAAAAAAAAAAAAACAATGATTAATATTATTATTGTCTGTTTAAATTAATAAAAAGAGGGTAGCTACTAATAATAATACGAATAATATATCGAATACCTGTTTAGGGCGAATAGAAGGAGCCAAGCTCATTGAGATCGATGATGCTGCCATAGCTTTTGCCTAATCTTTAAGGTATTGGAGCAGTATTTGTTCTCATGTAAGAGTGTTCATATTTTTGCAATAATTACAAATTTTCTTGTGAGGGGCATTTTTCCTTCTCATATTTTTCTTTTGTTTTTGTGTTAAAATTTGGATAATATGTCCTGGTTTAAGACTGAAGAGTGTCCAACAACAAAAGATAAGGTGGATAAACAAGAGTCTGTAATAACATGTGAGATTCACGTGCCCAAGGAATTTGTTGAGTCAAAGGTCAATTTTTCACATTTATAAAAAAAAAAAAAAAAAAAAAAGAAGAAATATTGCTTGGTAATAAATTCTTCCATTAGTCTTGAAATCCTTGCTTTATTTGTTAGTCAAAACGCTTTATATACATATTTTTTTTTTTTTTTTTTTTTTTTGACTGGGTAAGAAGTAGAACAAAGACAGTCTACCCATACTTCCTACAATTTATTGCTAGAGTATGGGCCTTGTGAACTATGCTTCGCTGAACTTTAATGCAGGCTATGAAATCTCTGGTGGTTGCTGCATCTTTTATGTCTGTGATAATCTGCCTTAATTCATCTTCCGCTTGTGCTGGTTGTCTCAGTGCTTGTACCACTTTATCGGAGTCCGATTTGATAACCAGATTTCTGAACTCTTCAGGGACTTCTCTTGATGCTCTCAATATTGCCACCCCTTCTGCTTGATTCGACGTTAAAGCAAAAATTCTGGAGGCTCCTTGAAACTGTCTGGTTTGGCCATGTTCTGCTAAGGCTGCAGTTGCTTTCCATATCTTCTTCCCGTTATTCTCCTTCTGCTTCCAGGCTGCATCCACACATATTGAAAGAAAAGGTTTTTCCAGTTATTTTCCCTGTTTTCCAAATTGAAGGTGTTGCCTGAGGTCTTTGCTTTTGGCCATCTAATTTCTCTTGTGGATTACAGGTGTTATTTGCTGCTTCCCATCTGAAGACGTGTGACTGTACTAACTCCAATATGGTACTTGGGTTAACACTCACGCCCTTGAAAATGATGTCATTTCTATGGATCCAGATGGCCCACAATACAGCCAAAAACCATACCATGGGTGAATGCTGACGGTCTTTCTTCTTCATTAGATAGGTAATCCAATCAATTACCCATTCCCTGTAAGATAAAAATTGATGATTAGCAGAATTAATTCCAAGAGGGGGTGCTATCCATACTCTCCTCGTTATTTCACAGAATCTGAACAAATGGTTCATGTCTTCTTGCTCTTTTTCACAGAGAGGACACTGGTTAGAAGTGTAGATGCCTCTTTTCTCAAGGTTACTTTTCCACAGATCCTTCCAGAAATTCGATACTCTAGGTGACCACATTTGAGGCTTGTTCTTGTGCACTTGAAACCAGTAACTTGTCTTAAAGCAGTAAGTTCCTTTCTTAACTTTGATCCAGTTGAACACATCATTCTATTTCTTCACTGTGATATGTGTTTCGGGTGTTTTTGGTCCCTCAAGAGAGTTACAATACGGAGTATGCACGCCTGACTTCTGTACCTGCAAAACCACGAAACTCCGGTTGGGTGGAGTTCCGCCTCCGAAGATCAAGTTAGTATGATTCCGGATGAGAAAGCGTGCGAAAAGTAGAGTGGATGTTTCTCTCTGATTCAGGGAGATTCCGCAATTAAGATTGCTCGGGTTTTGTGTATGTATTTATGAATGGGTCATAAATGAGGATTTTTCCCCTATTTATAGTGGGGGAGGCATGTTCCCTGATTAGGGTTTTGATGCCACGTGTCAGCATCTGATTGGATCCCGTTGGGCCTCTGGTGGGCTGCCACGTGTCATCATACTACTGGCCACGTGGCATAGGGTAATTTTTACCCTAAACATTTGCCCCTCACAGGTGTGACGTAGCGTAGCCACGTGTCACCTGTGACAGGTGTCAAGCACAGGGGGGGCGACAATTGGGTTGCTTCTCGCCTCTCTCTCTTGGATTCAAATTTTGAAAATTTGAGGCAGAAGGTGGCGATCCGTCTTCTGGGCTTGTCTATAAATAGAGACATCGCCCCCTTCTCTCCTCACTTTATAAATTTTGCAAAAATTTCTTGAGAGCTCTGACACCGGCTTCTAATTTGTGCAACCAGCTTCTTCATTCGAACGCATACGGACACCGGTTGAGGGCTTCTTCAATTAACTCACTCAGGTACCGTCTGACTTGATTTTCTTCTTAGCTTGAGTAGAACCATAGACGGTCTTACACCGTCTGGGACTCCATAAGGACTTCATGTTTTGCATTTGGTAGACCCACAGACGGTAATAGACCGCCTGAGATGTCTTCATTCAATGGACTTCTGATAATATATTCCATAGGCCCACAAACCCTCAGACGGTAATAGACCGCCTGTGACATTTGTGAACAATTGTCTTCTAGGGATTGCATTCAAAAGACCCACAGACGGTAACATGTCGTCTGAGGCTTCTTCAAACCAGTATCATTTTGCATCCAATAAACCCTCACCCGGAGATATTCCGCCAGGGTCATCTTCCAACAATTGCCCATCATAACTTGCATCTCATAGACCCGCAGCCGGTGAGTGACCGTCTGGGGTACCTTGAAACAAGGATCACCAATTCTAGACCCTCAGACGGTTTTGGACCGTCTGGAGCATCTTCAGATAATTGCTTTTCAAAACTAAACCCACAGACGGTTATGTACTGTCTAGGTTATCTTCAAACTAATATTCAAGACTTGGATCCTTCGCACCCTCAGGCGGGCTCATACCGTCTGGGGGTTGGTCAAGGAATTGTCTTCATAGCTTGCTCATGACCTGTTTTTGTAACACCCTCAGCCGACTATCATCTCGGCTGGGGGGGTCTTTGAGCAACCCTCCTCAATTACCGCTTGAGGTATCCTTGGAGATTTTCAATAATCATTCCATGGACCCACATCCGGAAATGTTCCATCTGGGGCATTTTTGGATGATCTTCATTGATCCCACATGGACATCTTTGAATGAAACTTTGTGATACCGTTTGGGGTATCTTCGAGCAAGCTTCCTGGATACCGCCTGGAGCATCTTTGGTCAAGCCTTTAAGATACCGTCTGGGGTATCTTTGGGCAAGCCTTTAAGATACCGTCTGGGGTATCTTTGGGTGATTTTCTTCCAAAATGCCTGACTGTTTGTATTTTTGCTTTAGGTTTTTAAAACGCAAACGGACTTCACCACCTGTGGCATCTTCAAGCCACACCTTGGAATCTCAGCACTCAAGTCTTCTTCAATCGTTCTCACAAAATCAAGGTATCACCTTTGCCCCCTTGTAACCTCTTGAGTTTACCGGTTGTATAGGTTAGAGAATAATGGACTCTCCCAATACATACACGACACGGCCTAGGGCAGTTGTCAACCGGTCACCGGATACGGCTGAGTCTAAGACTGGGGATGCCGTCTGGGGGTGTATGGAACACCCTTACTTTTCTGCGAATCCGACCGTCTCTGTTCATGTGCAGGACAGAATGGCTCGGACAAGGAAAACGACTTTTGATCCCGAGTACAAGTCGGATGATTCAGCCGGAACTCCGGTTGAAGACGCTCCCTTTGATCAACCAGGCGTTCCAAGTACGCCTGATGATGAGATTCTGGAAGATTCTGGGAGCTCAGGCGGTATGGGAACCGATCAAGAATCCGGATCTACTGAATCAACTATGACGCCGGATGCCCCTCAAGATGATGAGGAGGCATATAGTTGGCCTGCAATAAATAATCCAATGGAGGCGCATATGAGCGCCCGGGATGTTGTGATGTTAAACGCAACACTCTCGGTATTTTTAGAAAAATGCCCGGTTGGGGAAGACTGGGAAGTTGGCGTTCCGCTGGCTGATGCATCAATCGTCTGGGAAGACGACCTTAAACATGGCGATAACTACTTCGGCTGCTATGAGGCGGCGTTCAAAGCCGGCCTCCGGTTCCCCCTTCACAGATGTATCAAAGCCATATTAAGAGGCTATGACTTGGGGATCTGGCAACTTACACCCAACTCATGGGTCAACATTTTGGGGTATATTGCCGCCTGCGAAATGCAGGAGGTGACGCCTAGCTGGGAGGCGTTTGCCCACATGCACTACTTAAGCAGGGCACCGGGTGGCTGGAATGCGCAGTACACACTAACAACGCACCCAGAGTATATGATGACCTTGGAGAAACCCTCCAATTGGACCAGTTGGAAGAGCAAGTTCTACTACGTCTCTTCCCCATCTACGACTGCTAATCACCGGATGCGCCGTTACAACAAGAACCCGGCTCTTCTGGGAAAAAAGTGTGCCCTTCCAAGGGTACCGGGTGAGGCTTGGGATGCCATAATGGAGCCGGGACTATTTAAGAAAACGACTGAGCCATTGGATGATGAGACACAAATCATTGTCCCTAAATTCTGGGTCCCTCATCCGGACTGGTTCAGAAACGAGGCGTTCCTCTCCGCCTGTGGTCTTAGCACCCTTTGGGAAAAACTTAGGTTTACTGCTTAACCGGCATGCTGTGCCGCTTGTATGATGTTTGAATGCTTCTCACATTTTCCTTTGTTATCTTGCAGAAAAAGGACTAGAAATGACTCCTCCTGAAATGACACCGGCTAAGTCTGCAGCCGAAGTAAGGAAGGAACAGTTGGAGGCTAAATGGCCCAACTAGCGGCCAGGGCTGGCGGGGTAATTACCGGCTGACTTCTATACCGCCTGCATATCTTGTTAATTATTTTAATATTAACTTTTGACTTCTTATCTTTTGCAGACGAGGAGCCAGAACGTGCCCCGCTCAATAAGACAAATGGTCAGGAGACCAGGAGAGGAACTCCCATAACCGGCCTCTCAAAGGCGAAGGACCTCAACCGGCCCCGCCCCAACCTTCTACGACTGCAGGCAAAAGTCAGCAAACCCCGGGTGGAAGCTCGGGGCCGGCTGGGGCAAGATCTAGGGAGCCTGCGGTTCCTTCAGGCCGGGTGCCTGCTATAGCATCCGGCTCCACTGCAGCTAGGGGTGGTGGCACCCTGCGGCCTGAAAATTAATGTATGGATTTCACTTTTGACCCCGCCTGTCCACTTGGGCCAGTTCGAGTCAAGTCTCATACTTCTCAATCAGGAGAGCCCTCCGGCGACCGGCTGAAAATAGGGGCCGCCTATGCCCAACACTTAACCAATGTCCCTCATGATGCGGATACTGCTTCCCGTTTTCCGGATATGCAGAATTATGCCCGGCGCATGCTGAGGACCCTTACCCGGTCTGAGAGGGAAGAAGTGTCAGGTATCAACCAGGTCAATCTTGACCGGATTAACCCTCTGCTTGCTGAGGTAAAAATACCGGTTGGGGTAGTTTCTGGTTATTTTGCCAAAAACCGGATGGGGTACTTTTGTGCAAAATTACTCTTTGCTTATGACTGACACTAACTCATTTTCCGGATGATCCTGCAGGCGTTGCTGAGGGTTGACGCCTTGAAAACCCCCTTGCGAAAGAAGCAAGAGGAGGTAAGGGATGCCCAGAAACGGGCAGCCGAATTACTTGATGTATGTCAATACAACTCCATAATGCTTGAAGTCAAAACTAAAGCAAGAGAGATGAAACAGGAGGAACTCATCCGGGAGCTTACGGATGCTGCTGACAATGCCAACAAAGCTGCCGAGGACCGCAAGGTCGAAATAGATCAGCTCAAAGCAGACATCAACACTTTGAAGGAGGCTGACAAGGAGAGGGCTGGTCTAAAGGACGATGTCACCCGGCTGGGAAATGTGTTGGAACAGGCGAAGGGAGAGCTGGTAAGAACCAAAAAACAGTACCTAGACCAGCTGTCGGCTGAGCAAAACCGGCTGGTGGCCGAGGATGAGCGTGAATGTGAAGCGCGCATGAAGATGGCATGGTCCATGATCCACCCGGATACCGACTTTGCTTACTTCAACTTGAGGTACAAATATTCTACAGAAGTATATGATGCTCAAGTTCTCGAGCAACCGCAGCCGGCTCCTTTCGATGAGTGGGCCAGCTTGGAGGAGGAGCAGGCGGCAGAGAATGTACCGGGTGAGACAGGAGAGGCCCAAACCTTGGAAACTCAAGGTGCCCCTGCAGCCGGCCAAGACCAGCCGTCCGAGTAACAGCAACCAGAACAGCAACAACAACAGCAGCAGCAACCATAGCTTTTTAGCTTCTTTTTTTTTTTTTTTTTTTTTTATAAAGAATTTCATCCGGCTTGTGAGCCGTGTATAACTTTTTCTCCGGACAGGGGTCCGGCTAACATTGAGATTTTAATATATATATGTATGAGTATGCCGACTGTGTCGGCTTTTTATCACTTTCAATTTTTCTTCTATTTTTGCAACTTTATTATCGCAATTTTGTTTTGCATGCACTCGTGATATGCCGGATGTATCAACTATGTATG